GTAGCGATGCCCTTGTTACTAGTAGTAATGCCCTTGTTACTAGTAGTGATGCCCTTGTTACTAGTAGCGATGCCCTTGTTATCAATAGCGATGGCGATGCCCTTGTTACTAGTAGCAATGCCCTTGTTATTAGTGGTAATGCCCTTGTTACTAGTGGTAATGCCCTTGTTACCAGTAGCGATGCGCTTGTCACTAGTAGCGCTGCCCTTGTCACCAGTAGCGATGCCTTTGTTACCAGTAGCGATGCCCTTGTTAAGAGTAGCGATGCCTTTGTTACCAGTAGCGATGCCATTGTTACTAGTAGCTAACTTCGTAGCCACTGCTGCCGCATTATGTGAGTGTGTCCAAAAAGGGCAAAAATGTCTCAGGTATGGTGCAATCTCTGGCTCGCTGATTCTGCAAGGAAAGGGCCGAAAAGAACTCTGAAGGTAGTTGAACCTTGTCCCCAGTCCCACCTCAAAAGAATATGTGGATCCAAAAAAACGCAGCGATGCTTCACCTCTTTCTGTGGTGTAGAAGAACCAAGAGCGAGCAAGGGCGCTCCTACGCTGTAAAGTGGGTTCACCCTCGGCCAACATCTTCTTCACTGGAAAGCCCTTGATTTATTTGGAAAGAATAAAGAGACATCCTCTGACTCGGCCTTACAATTGGGCAAGCTAGCCTCATGGGCCCCTTCATTGACTTGCATAACTCTTTTCAAGTGTAATTCGCAACCCGCAACCAATCTTGTCTGCAATGCTCCTTGCCATCATCTGAACATAAGACATTAAACAGAACCAAAAAGGCAACAGAAAAACATTTCCAGACTAGTCCAATCTCAAGAAACCAAAAAAACAAAAAACAAAGATTTCAGAACTATGTTGAAGATTGGACTAGTCTGGAAATGTTTATGTTTATTTTTTGTTTCTTGCCTTTGTCGTCCGGGATTAATCCAGATTAATATGAAAAAATATTCCTCAATGAACCCTACATGTCTGCTCCACAACAATCTCATACGCTCAAACCTTCATCTGCTGCTCATCTGCAGGAATTTGGCTTGTAGCTCCTGTTTGCTTTCCTTGCTCTCTGGTTTTCATTTATCTTACCTTCTTTCTGATTTAAAAAAACATATCCTTAAAATCATGTAGCTTCCTTCTATCCTCATCAATCTTGAGCCTCTTACATTCATACAGCATAATGTTATTTTTGAACATCAAGTCTATACAGTGATTAGCATAGGCTTCAAACTCAAATACATTTTAGCATAATGTTATGTTTCAACTGCCTTGTATTGCCAGTAGCTCCTACAATCTTGTCAGGATTGTTCAAATCAAACAAAAGTCCCAAATCAAAGCCCATTTGCCTACATTAAGAAAACAAATATTGAGCTTCTCATCACCATAAGATATGCCAAAAAACTTGTGGATAGTTACTGCTTCTGCACCGCATTCTTGTTTCATATTATTAGTGGGCACTACAAATACAACTGTAGGTGTTTACATATAAATGACTTGCCTGTTCCTGCAACATCACCTCTAACCATCAGTCTTTTTGTTGGCAAGATGTGTTCATTGATAGTCTCATCAGTGTTCCATTCATCTTTCACACCACCGGTTTCAGTTGAATACTCTGTTATGTTTTCTAAGAAGCTTGGTTTTCTACAAAAGGGTTGTGATGGAGACCTGAACCTATTACAATACTTCAATTCACCAATACCATTGCCAAACTTAAAAAAGACTTTTTGCCTTCCCTAAATTACATTTATCAATCACAAATGCATCAGTCTTTACTGAATACACCTGTATATCATTATGCTTCAGTTTCTCATAGGCAACATTCATACTATGGTTATGGTTATGTAAAATCATCTCTTTGATAAACCTATATCATATATCCACTCTTTAGATTTTTGGTGTCACTTATGCTTAAACCATCATGCTTATTTACAGTCAAATCTTTTTCGAAAACAAGTTCATTGTGCTCCTCATCTATCTCATGTTCGTTGCCTTTTTCGTCTCTCTCAATTAAGCAATCATCATCACTAATCATAATTATCTCCTCACCCTCCTTCATATATTCAGTGATCACATTTATGTCACCAACATATATCTCTTGATAGTAAAAGGATTCAACCATATTAGAAAAGGCTATTGACCTTTTTGCTACATTAGTTTGTTTTTCCAGTAGTCCAATGTTGATAGAAGCAATCATCTTATTTTTCTTATCTTTCTCTTCATCCTCGTCCAGTTTAAACTATACAAGTAATCAATGAGTTTTTTGTAGTTTACCTTGTATGTATTAGATGGCACTTTGAAATACATGATTTCAACAACATCGGCATATTCCTTCAAAAACTTTCCATAAATCAAGTTACTGTATGTTCTGTTGAGAAATATGTTCCTAACCTTGCTCTTCACTAGATACAATGTGAACGAGTTCATCTTGCTGAAATCATATATTTTGGGTCTATCCCATTGTCAGTAACAGTCAGTAAAAGGGTTTGCTGTCTACTAGTGTTCATAGTGGTTTTGTAGCATTTCCTTTCATTCTAAATCATGTTCTATTCAAATAATTGATAATCATATGATAATCATACGTCTTCCAAATATCAAATGCAGAAAACACCGGTATCCTGACAGTGTCGGTTGTACCTTGTGTGTATGCCTTGTTCAAATCTATTTCAATGTGTTTGTTTCAGACCCCACCTATGGATTCAACATATCCATTTGGTGCTATGGTGCGTGCCATTGAACAGATGTTCATATCATCTTTGTGATAGGAGGACTTGTGATTGGGATTGAACATCCCCTTGTTGAAGTTGAACATTGCTTCATTCACGCTATTGAATGTATCAGCATCGCTACTTGCAATACAAGTATCTACAGCACAGTTTATCAAACTCTGACTTCTGATGTTCAAAGTCAGATGGTTGAACTTGAGTTTGACTGATGAAATGTTGCTACCAGCTCTCATTATGATTTTGGGTTCATACTTTGCTCTCTTGATCTCACAATGTACATCATTAATTTCCCTTCTACTTTGTCACATCACTGATGTCAATATTCTTGATGGCAGTTGTATAGTCTTCAATGTTAGGATTTTGTGTTTTTAGTTCTCTATTTTTCTTAACCAATCTCTCAAGCGATTGTTTAAATAGTTCTGTGTTATGTATTATTTCAACTTCTTTATATTTGCCGGTCATATTAGTTCGCCAATTTCAACTACATCAACAAACTCTTGAAGGAAGCATTGGCCCTTGATTTGCGTTACTGACCTGATGCTAAAAGGGGAGCGCAAGCAAGCTGACTTACTGAAAGTATATATATATGTATTTTTTTTACCTTCCCCTGCATCAACTATGTAAGAGTATTAATCTAGATTAATCTTCAGAACCCATTTCTGCAACCCAGAACAGTCCCTTCTCAAACGAAAGCCACAAAGAACTCCTCTCCAACCGGTGCTTCTTTGTACAAAGAAGTCAACACCATCCCGAAAGAACGGGAGGGTCCCGGTGTTCTTGAAAAACCCACCTCCGAGCGTCAAAGAAGTCAGCACAGCGCTGTGCCCGAAGCGTTTCGTCGGCAAATCCCCTGTGCACTCGATTTGGGTCCAGTTCTTGCCCTGCAATGACTGCATCGGTCCAAAAGAACCGATGCAAAGGTCCAAAAGGGCGGAGAAAGCAGCAAATCCCAGTCATAGAAACATATAGGTTGGAGGCCACTGCTCGTAGGTTGGAGATGGTTGGAGGCCATATTTGGTGAGAATCACTGGGAATCTGTTCATTCTAGTCCAGCTCCATGGACAATGTGCAGGGGGCTTTCCCGAACCAAACGTTCGATCAGGAGGGTGTTTTTCACCGCAACGTACAGGTTTGGATCTGGTTTGCGCAAACCTTCATTTTGTCAGGGTCGTGATACCCAATGGATCCTAAAGGCATGATGTTTGTTCAGGATTCATTCAACATTGTGTGGCTTTTTGCCAGTCTCTTTGAATGCAGTTTGTTGGTCTTGATCAGCCAACATAGTTTGCCCACCCTAGCGGCCCCCATATTCATGGGACAGGTACGAAGAAGAACAAATTGTCAGTAAACTTTGCTGCAGGGTACCCCCATTAGAACCTATTAGGTGAAAAGCCTTCACTTGCTGCACCTAAATGCCATCGAGAGGGATGGGAACGCGTATGGAACCTGCCACGAAGCTGAGTACACAGAACACTGATATCTTTCATCCGAATGAGGCGGAGGCGGATGCTGTCTAAATCAAAACTGCTTCTGATCCAGCTCCTAGTTCTGCCTCAACCTTGGTCCCCAGAAGAGCCATTGAAAAGGACCAAGGGGATGGGTTCCCTTCGCTTGATGTCAATTTGCACACAATCCGACCAGGTCAACAGTTAACATCAAGAGTCCACACAAAAACACATAACACCACACAACAAAGATCGCCATCCGACGTGCGAACCCTGTCACTACTCTCTCGGCCTCGAAATCAAAAAAGTGCACATCGTTGAAAACAAGATCACCTTGGCTCAACTGCTGCTTTTGGTCCCATGCTTGATTTGGATGCTGCAAACATCCACCGATCTGCTACTAGTTATGTTGGTCCGTGCATGGAAGCAACGACAAATTGATTGATGAAATACATTCTGGACTTCTCACTTTGTGGAATTATTGTATACTCTCCCTAGCCTGCCTGCAGCGTTTCATCCGTAATTGATGTTCACCTCAACGATTTTGTGCTCTTACAAAATGGTTCCTGGGCATTCATCTGGGTCGCTGCTTGGTCCTGTCTGACCGACTCTCATTCCTCCGAAGATCCACATGCCACCAAAGCCATCCGTGACGGCGCTGTGCATGGTACGGGCGGCTGGCGGGGTGCCAGCAGGTTGAACTGGGGTCCAGCTGCGGCCCGTCTTGGCTGAAAGGTCAATGGCGTCCTGACGGTCAAACCAAATCGAACACATCTTGACAGAAACGACTTCAAGAAGGCAGTCCAAACAGCTAGTTTTTTGTTACGACTAGCAATCAAATATAATCAAATAACAACACCTTTGATGTTCCAAAACCAACTCCCCACATTATGAGCCCGCCCCCAATGATGGATGGCAAAAATTGTTTGCAACATGAACCTGTAAAGTGGGTACCTCGCGAACACTTCCAATCTGCTTTGCATGCCCCATGTTTGATTTGATGCGGCGGGCATGCCAGAATTTGCACTTGATCCTGTGGTTCGATTCGAGTTGAAGTATGTGTGCACTATGAAACTATATGAAACTAAACAACTAGGCCATCTGTAATACCTGAGCCGAAGCTCAAGTACACGCAAGTATACGAGTAAAATGTGCTATTTCACTGATTTAGGACTGCGGCCGTTCGAAAAATCATCTCACTCTCTTCTTCTTTTCCAACCCAGTCCAGCTCAATAAAGTCTAACTGGTCTGCGGGCGGAACATTTTTGCTGTGAGTACCTCCATGGATCCACATACGCCCAAAGCCGTCCACGATGGCCACATGCCCAGCGCGCTCGGCAGGGGTCTGCTCCTTGGGGCCGAGACATGCAACCTGTCGCAACTCTATGCGCGCAAAGGACCGCAAAGGCAGGTTAAGCAAGATCAAAAGGAGCAAGGCCGGCACCAAAACGCACAGGGAAAAGTGGCGATACTTTGAAGGGCTTGTAGGTTTAAAAGCAATTGAAACTTTCAGAACGTCACCGTGGACCCACCATCCATCGATGGTATTTGCGTCGGAAGTCATGAGCTCAAGATCCACACAGCGGCCGGCAAACCAAGTTGTGATGAGTATCTTAGCCGCTGTCCAGGAAGAACAAACACAGCAGCTCTACCAACATTCAGCAGACCGTCGTTGCGTTGAAAGAGCCCCTGAGATTCTTCACTGCTTAAACCGGTACGAGTAGCTACAGAAGGCCATGTAGAAAGACTCGGGCCAGGAAGAAACCGAAAGGAAGAGGCAATGGCCCAAGGCGTATCAGGCAGTTGCTCAGCCCATCATGGACCTGGATGAAGGTTGGACAGATACGGCCTAGGACCAGCGGATGCTTGCAAAGATTGGCGCACCAAAAGCTACGGCATTCTTAGTCAGCAAGGTTTTCAAAGAAGCTGCGCCGACTGGGAACACTTGGCTGATCTCATCATGTGAGAGCAGCGAAGAGCCACCCAAAGTCAAAAACCAAATTTCAGGAGTGGACCTGCACCAAAAAAGCATCCAAACTGCTTGAAGCAGAAACCCAGATGCTTAAATGATAAATGGATCCTCAACATCTGATTGCTTGACACGCAAGCCAAGCTCTCCAGACAGGAGGATCGCAAGATATCGCAAGGCACATCACGCTTTGCAAAGCAACTTTTCAGTCCAGAGACACAGATACAAACAAAGCAGTCCGGAAGTCAGACAAGCGACAAAAGAACAACATCACAAGCCAGCCACTCAACACCAGCCTCGCCCCGTGATTTTTAACTGCTGTGAGGTCATGAGCACTCCTCTCAGCGAAAGATCTCCAGGCATAGCAACAGCACAAGAAGCCAAATTGGTGAAATGTCTTTTGTTTTCCATGGATGGTGAGAAGTTGAAGAACCACAACTGCATGCCTTCCGACTCCTTCCGGAATCACGTTGCCTTCCGGGTGACAAGGGTGGCACGTTCATGGTCGACAAGCATCGTTGCTCAGTGGCAGAGGTGCACGACAGGTGCACACCAGTTGGACTAAGATTGAATTTTGCCCATGAGGCACATGCGTCTCCTGCAGAAAAATGCTGTCGACCTCTTCACACCGACATAATCGAGGATTTTGAGCTGGCTAAATGAACAGGTGAAAACTCAGGCTTTCGTGAATTAACCCTCCAGGTGCGCACACAAAGCCGCGTCAGAAGGCAATTTCAAGCGGCGAGCCAAGTTGCAGCAGTCCACAGTGGTTGGCTGCCCAATGGCCAATCTCTCACAAAGCTGGCTCACACCAGCCACCAGATTTCTTAGCATTTTGATGGTAATTGCCCAAGATGCAGTCCACAGCAGCAGTGAGTTTTTGCAAACAAAGGTTCCAGACGGCTGCAAAAACCGATATCGAAAACCTCTATTCCAGTATCAACACCGAAGACTTGCGGGAGGTCGTGTGTGCCGAAGTGCTGCGGCTTTATGGCAGCACAAGGGAAGCTCAATGATCTCAATGCGCCGACCCGCCTTCTTTGAAGTCAGCCTGCAAAACCAGCTTGTATTCCACAAAAGCGAGTGCCAGAACGCTATCAAGCATTCGGTATACATTCGGTAAAGGGGATACTGCCAGGCGGGTTCCTTGCGAACATCGATGTCAACCAAGTGGATGTTTGCCGATGCATTCTGGAGAAGTTGGATTTTGTTTGCACGACTCATGGATGATTCAGTGGTGCGCTTCAAGCACCGATGCCGATGCCATACAAGCAACTGGTATGGGAAGGCTCTAGATGAAGAACCAGTGGCTTTCTTGGACCTCAGATTGAAGAAGAGCCATGGAGCCATGATGTGGGAAGTGTTCCACACGCCATTCAACAAGTACTTGCACATCCCCAAAGCCAATTGCCATCCGACATCTGCTGCCAGTCTGATCCAAGAGGAAACCAGTAAACTCTGTTGCTGAAACGTTTGCGCGTCGTAGAGCCTCTTCAAGCCATTCCACAGCATGATCCTTAAGCATAGCCTTACATAGCCATACAGACCCACAAAAATCATTAAACACCGACACCGCTTGACGAGAAGACTGCATTTAGTACTGCATATAATCTTCGGGACACAACATGCTCAAGCTGAAAGCTAATGTAGCTTTCAACGTTCAACGTTCAGAAGTCCCATTCTCGACCAGTTTTCTGAACAATTGGCAGCAGGGGCCATAGTCTGAGTTCGGTTTATTCGATTCCTGGGGAAGTGGGAGGGTCTGTTTTTTTAGAAAAAACATAATCAAACAGCAAGCAACCTGTCGCATTTTTTTGTGTGCAAGGGCAGGTTGAACAAACTCCAACAAGCAACGAAACGGGTACCAAAAAACGATCAAAAACGCACAGCCCAAAGTGGTGATATTTCGGGTGCCTGTAGGCTTGATGTGTCTAAACCTTTGAAGCAAACAACACAACTCGCAAACAAAAAATCCCTGAAGAGGGAAAGCTAGCACTATTCCTGAGATTGCTAGCTTAATAAGCAGCTGGCTCTCATGCCGGACACCAAGCAAAAATGTGTTGCAACATGCACAGAAAGGGAACGGTATGACGACAAATAATGATGTATATTGTGAAGAGGGACCTGCAAACGAGAATGCCGAGAGGATTCCACCATTGCAACTCTTGTCATTAGTCTGTTACACGTTTGAAGTCTGGCGGGAAAGTTTGGGATAAACGTGTGCGTCCGTGGGTCAATCATCATCATCAGTCATCCCATGGGAGGGATTTGTAGGTCAATCTTAAACTGATGTGTTTGGGGGTGTTACCACCCGATGGAGACTGACAATGGAACCGGAACGGAACCCGACCCAAGCCCAGCTGCTGCAGCGACTTGGATCCATTTCTCGGACGCCATGTCGAAGCACTGCCTGAGGGAATCATCATCTTCTTCATCATCATCACCATCTACTACTACAAACTACTACTACTACAAACTACTACTACGACTACTACGACTACTACTTATGCTACTTACTACTACTTACTACTACTTACTACTAGATCTACTAGTTACTACTAGTTACTACTAGTTACTACTACTTACTACTCCTTACTACTCCTCCTTACTACTACTTACTACTACTTACTACTACTTACTACTACTTACTACTACTTACTACTACTTACTACTACTTACTACTAC